CCTGTTTTGCCAGGTAAAAAACCAGGTTTCTTACCTAGCTGAATAACCCCATTAAATTCTCGGTTAAGTTTAGAAAACTCTGTAACACAATGCCCTATTGTTCCGTTTTTGTCTTCACTATTTTCACTATTATCCCTATTTTCTAAATTTGGCCCTAAATCTAGTTTTATCAAGTTATCAACTTTTGAATAACAGATTTTAATGTCAATTTCCATTTCTTACGGTTTCAAAATTTCGACAAGGTTATTTTTTTTTGCTATTAGACGATCGACAACAAGTTTTCAAGTGTTTCAAGTTTACAAAAATGTTTTTAAAAGTCGGAGGTTCCTAGGACCAACAAAACAATTTATCTAAAACATTTGGTTGCAGAATAAAGTATTTAAAACTGGAGATTCCGTGTCGGATTGTACAAAAGTTAGTGTTTGAGCAAAAAATTAAATCGCAACTTCCCCAAAAAAGTTTACTTCCAATTAAGTACTTTGAGTTGAAGAGACGCTAATACTGAAAAAAAAACAGTTTCGAAAACTTCATTTAATTATCTATTTTGAATTGAAAGTCAATGTCGTTATCAATCAGTTATCGAAGATATACGCTTACAGATTGTGTTAAATAAAGTTCAATTTCATAGTTTTATTGATGAAGAAGTGAATTTATGGGTGAACAAAAGTTACAAAACATTTTTCAGATTCCGAATTTTTAATCATATTCCAACGACTTCTGAAAACTTACTAGACCGAATTCACTTGAAAAGGGAATATTCTAACACGTGATTTAAAAAAAACTATCGAAATAAAATTTGTCAATCTTATTTTTGTAAAATCCTATCAGTGGAAGGATCATACGTATTCAGATTTAAACAAATACTAAAATTTCATAGGTCTCCGAAATTATAAAACTACACAAAAATAGTGATCGAAGAAATACATATTCGTCATAAAATGTTTTGGGAGGTTTTATTTCCTAGTTCACTTTTTTTTCGTGTTACAGGAGTTTTATAAGGTTAGTGTAGTTTAGATAGTTTAGTTTAGATATCATTACATGTTGAGGATGCCTGGTGGAACTGATTTGAAAAATTTCAGACAGAGCGTTCCATTTTTCAAGTTTGTCACTATTTTCAAAATTCTATAATACCGTAAAACCTGTATTGGAAGTCTTATCAAGTGTTTGGAACAGTAAAAAATAAATTTTACATTGAAACACTTGTTTAGAAAAAATTATATTATAGATCTTTCATTTTCTCTATTATTGAATCGGCTTGTATATAGTTTCTCCTAAAGCTTTCGAACTTTTGGCTGAAACTTTTGGCTTTTGGCTGAAAATCTTGAAGATTTTGGACTTTGGGTTATATCTAGATGTAGAATTATTCTACTCATTGTAAATTGAAGTTTTATTATATAAAACATGGTTAGTGGCGTTGTTTATCTTTGCGACGGAACAAGAGCTTACCTGAGAGTTTTAAAGATTATATAGAGTTTTAGATGGTTGAAATTTTTGTTTTCCTGGGAAGAACGGTCCCGAAAACAGGATCTCCGGTGCCATCATAGGACCACCGGTCCCAAGAATTTCGACAACGGTCCCATTGTTTTGACAACGGTCTCATTGTTCCGATAACAGTCCCAAAGTTCCGACAACGTATAAAATTATTGTTTCCAAAGAAATTATCATGGAGGTTCCAATTTTCGAAATATTTAATCATGCTGGATCATTGCGACGTCACAAATACTATCTCAAATCACTTATCAAAAACTCAACAAAAATATCTTCTCAATTTCTCTCTAATAGAGTAATCAGATGTTGGAACTCTTTACCCGCCAATGTGTTTCCGGTGAAGCCCTCGTCAGCGGCTTTCAAAAATCGACTATTATCCTGTGATCTAAAACATTTCCTTGTCTTGAATTCAACATTACTAACTCGGTTTTTCCTTCATCTCCGAATTACTACAAATGTATGTCCCTGTTATATCTCCTAGTTTCATTTCACGTGTTAGTGGTTTTCTCCCCTTCGTTGAAATAAATAAATAAATAAATAAACGGTCCCAATCAGGCTTAATCTGGAACCCCTATTCCCGAAATTCAGAAAAACGGAATGGTCTTTTGAAAATCCAGTGGAAAATTTAACATTCTACTTATACTTGGAAATTTCAGTACTTTTTGTCAGGAATTTGTCACAAAATAATACTTTTTTTGTATCGTAGGCTTAGGCCAAACACCATTTTTCGGCACTGATGTGAACAGCGCGTTTCAGCCTAAGCCTATAATTATAAACCATATACACTCCGAAAAAATTCCTGTACAAAAGTACTGGAATTCTCTATCAGCAAAATGTTCGTTTTTGCTGCTGATATGTGTTTCTTAGTTGAACAAAACTTACAATTTTCCGAATAGGGTTTCCAGATTAAGCCTGGTTGGGACCGTTGTCGTACCCTTGGGACCGTTGACGGAATATTGGGACCTGGAATTTTTTCAGGTTTTCGACAAGAAAGTAATTTTCAAAATAAATCACAAATCAAACCCAATTTCGAAATTCGAACGAAACGATTTTTGTTCAATGGAGCGCGTTTGCCATTTTCTTAAATTTGCACTGGGAAACCTGGTTTTACATAAATCGAATACTGATCAAATTAGGATGGAACACATATTTGCCTAGAAAAACTGGATGAGAATCTAAAAGAAATTTTCACCTTTCTAATTTTTTTATAATTTTCCTGTTTCTTTTTCTGTTTAAAATGTCTGTTTCAGGGCAGTGGTCCGTGAAGACTTTCTTGTAGAAATAGGACCGTGTAATCCTTGGAAAAATTAAATTCCGATGAGTTTATCGTCAAAAAAGACTTGGAAAACACCCTAAAGGGAAAAGCCAGGAAGCTTGGAGCAGACAAGGGATTTTCGGGGTCCAAGCACGAAAGAACTCGATATATTGTCTGAAAATTCTATTTTTCTGCAATTTTGTCAATTTCCATCACGAAGATCGGAAAAGCTAGTCGAAACAATCCACTGAACCATCGAAAAATCATTTCGAATTTATCGCGAGACTACGGTACAGCATGCGCCTTTGACGCAATAGTGCGCATTGGACGCAAACACCAATCGGTACACGCCGACGCGCAGTTGCGGACTAGAGACATTGCTAAGCGCCGTCGACGTCATTTTAAGACGTTTTCAGACCGATTTGCTGCTGTAACTCCGTAAGTCTTTTACTAAAAATTCAGAATAGTAGTCTGGTAACTCCCATTGACTGAAATTATGACAAAATTTGCTGAAATCCGGCATAATGACCCAAAAATGCCAAAGTTTCGAATTTGGCCTAAAATTTTTCAAATTTTCTACTTTTTTGTTACCGCCGTCGGGTGAACGCGTGGCCATGCTTTATGCATGAAAAAGCTCAAATGTAGTCCCCAAAAACGTCAAAATTCTGAAAAATTTGACTGCGTCATCAATTGCGTCATCAAAAATCTGAAATTTTCCGAAAATTCTATAATCCTTCCAAAGTGACTCAAAACGATTCCAATCGATCAATTTAGTATCTAAAAAATTATTTTGGGCAAAATTCTGCACAAAAAGTGTCATTTCGATCGATTTTCGTATTTTCGAAACATTTCGAAAAGTTTGGAAGAGTCCCAAAAGGACTAAAAATCATCTCAATCGATAAAAAATCAATACTAAAAATCAATTTAGGTCGGAATTCATCCGAAATTCGCCGATTTTATCAATGTTTCTAATTTCGAAAAATTACGAAAATTTTCGAAAACAGAAAAAATTCTAGAATCTTCCAGAAAATCACAGAGTAGAGCAAAAATGACTTTAGCAACAATATTTGATGAAAAATTTACAGCATTATTCCTGAATTTCCCAATATCCGTCGCCCATCGCTAATTCTCTCGTGCCTCTTCTATGCTCGTACTCTATGGCCAATATTCAATACAAATTATTGATTTTTCCAGGAGATGAGCAATCGAGCCACAAACCCAATCGATCGAGAGCCAATGGTAGCTCCGGAAAGGAAGAAGGATCGTGTAACTCCAATGGAGCTCAAGAAGTTGGAGGTAGCTCCATGTGAGCAGAAGAAGCAAGAAGAGGGAGCTCCAAAGGAAGAGAAGAAGGCTGATGGAGAAGAGGTAGCTCCAAAGAGCAGGAGAAGATCGATGGAGAAGAAGGGCAGAAGCCAGGTTGCAACGGTACTCCCAAGTCGCGTTGGTGGCAGATGCCTCCACAAGAGCAGCTCGCCGTAACCACCATCAAGATCGGCGGCGAGAAGCTCCACTTCGTCGTCGTGGACACGAATCCATACACCTTCGCAAATCCAGCTCCTCTCCAGTACTACAAGGTCAAGGACAACAAGCTGGTCAAGACAACCGTCGACGACTTGGGATCTGGTATCTCCAGAAAACCCAAGAAAGGAAAAGGGAAAAAAAGTGAGTCAGACACAAAATTAACAATCAATCGATACAAACATTATAGGGATCGAATTCCATCACCTCCGTATCCACAAAGGTGTTCGAACGCCGCGACATCATAGGAGTCAGTACTCCCAACATGGCATGTGCCCGTAAAGTTACCGTCGTACCGTGGAGGAAGGAGGTATCCACAGCAATGTGGAAGCCTGCAAGGCCTACGGCATCGGAGCCGAAATCGCCGACCGTATTTGGTTGGCCCAGGACATCGACGGAATTTCCTTCAACGAATTCCTGCTCCAGTAACCCTCCGACATATCCCGTAGCTCGAAGAGCAAACTTGTTAAATTTGTGCTGTATCTCCTAGAACTAGAAGTACTTTACAATAAAATCACCCTGTTAATTATCGATTCCAATCAATATTTGTTCTTCCAATTCCGGTTTTACAGACCGTATCATATCTTGTTCTTCTACGTCCTATTGTCTTCAGTCTAATCAGTGATTACAGATGAATGACAGCAAACTCAACAAGGAAGTCAACGACCTCATCGACTTCAAGGAGGACGGTAGCAGCTTCTCGGAGACACGCCACGAAGAACAAGAGGAAGAGCGTCATCCGGTAGCTCCACCCACTCCAGTCATCACAATTGAAGAGGAGTCCACTCCGATTGTGACAGCCAAGGCCGCCAAGGGTAACTCCAACGCAGCTACGGTAACTCCAGGAACCTCTACACCAGCATCTGGAGCTCGTTGCAAGAAGGAGACGGTAGCCACTGAAGAGTTTCCAGCCAAGAAGCCTCGACAAGATCAGGAGGAGATGTACAAGCTCATCAACAAGAGAACCAAGACAACTGAGAAGGAAATCGGTAACAGTCTGCATTTAACAGGAAAGACCATAACGAAGAAATTTCAGATCATGGAAAGAAAGCGTATCTCCTGATGCAGAAGATGGAGAAGAGTCTGGAAGAACTCCAATCCACGTTCAAGACCGAACTGATGAAGCATGGAGCTGGCCTCCACGCCGACACCAAGAAGGGATTCGAGAAAAACCATGGTAGCCACCAAAGAGCCGGACACGAGATCCACGCCACAAACCGAAAAGTGGACGGTTTTGTCGCCGGCGGTCCTCAAAGCCGATCTAACCAGGATCAAGGTCCTCGTGGAGGACTCAAGACAGCTCTGGCTGACGAAGATGGCTGGAATTCCAAAGCCAGACTACTCCTCGTCTCCAAGAGAAGAATCGTCAAGTTATTGGGGTACTCCAGGATACAACGACCCAATCCATGAGATCGAACCTAGTCAAGGAGAACGCGAACCCAGCTCCAAAACCGTACCCAGTAAGTAAAAAGTTAACAAACAACAAGAACAAATAATAATTCAATGATTTTTCAGCCACGCGAAGTTTGCGCATTCTGTGGAGGCTATTCCCATCAGTCCGAAATCTGCGAGAAAAGACCCAGTTGGCGGGTCAGAAGACAAATCATCTTCAACAGAGGATAGTGCTCCTTCTGCCACCAGAAGCACCAGGAGGGGGAAGTCTGCCCAAGAGATGGTGAATAATGCGAGACGTGTAGCTCCCTGTATCCACTGGACGCGGCCAAGGCTCTACACCACCGCGCCATTTGCGACAACTTGTACTTGGGTGCGCCGATCGAAACATTCAATCGCATCGAAACATTCACTCGAATGGCTCGTAGCTCAAGAGGAAAGGTCTCAAGATGAAGACGTGGACGTGGACGTGGACGCGGTATCCACCACGGAAAGCACCAGTGAAGGCGGAGAATCCACTACACAAATGGCCATCGAGCCCGTTAACCTTGTTGTTAATTATTATTGTTGTTTTTTATCTAATTGCTGTTAACTGGACTAGTATCCACAAAGGTGCCAGATTCCCATTATTGCTTAAATAAAATGGTCAAAAAATTAAGTACTCAATTCATCAAATTATCAAATAATTCCTGAGTTATGTACTCAAACTTATATCTTATTATTGTTGTTGATTTTTTTTTGCCACCGCCGATTAGAAGTACTGTAACGCCGTTACCTGACAGAGAGATATGTATTGTGAGAGTGTGAGAAGTAAGATGAGCTAGATAGATCAGAATAGCTGAATCTATAATATCAAGTAGGTGATACGAATTGGTAGAAGTTGTATTCAAACCGAGCAGTTGAATACAATTTGGCTGATTTTTTTGTCAAATAAATGTATTTAGAAGTTTATTAGCATGATGAAGAAATTCATTTATAATATCAAAAGTCCAAAATAATGTTCCAGAATGGTTCGCTTTTTCTGAAAACTCTGAATATATTGAGCATAAAATGAAATCAACTTTAGTGATTGAAAAATTTTTCACCACTAACAAGGGAAGGTTTTTCAGACAACGGTTGAGAATTTGCTCAAAATTTGTACAAAGATACTTTCGAACATGCTGAATCCGAATCCAAAAAAATTTTTAGCCCATTCTCAAAAGGAGCCGAAATATGGCCTCTGAAAGTGCTTTTAGTACTAAATTTTGGCCAAAAACATGCATTTTTCGAGGTTAAAAATTAGTTTTTCAGGATTTGTTTGAGTGCGAAACTCATTTTTGAACGTTTTTCTATCTTCTAAAGTAACTTTTAAACATTTTCAAAAAAATTTTTTTTTTGAAAACACACTTTGAAAATGATTTTTTGAAAATTTTTTGAAAAGTGCGAAAAAACGTTCCCATTATTCAGAAACGATAAAAATAGCATTCTGACAAATTTTTTCAGCCCAATGTTGTCTTTGGGCTCAAAAAATCTCCAAATTCTGATTGTTGTTAGAACTTTGACAGTTCCTAATTTCTGAAATATCGCTTGAACTTAACGGAAACCTATAGAAACCATTATCTATTTTTTCCTCAAACTCTCGTAAAAAATTGTCATATAGTGGCTAGGGGGGCAAACTTTGAATCAAAAACTAGTTTCAAAAAATGCAAAAAAAGTTTTACCACCCACAGTAGGGGTCGAACCAGCATAGTCAATCCTAATGAGTCACCTTCTTACCACAACACCACACAACCGATATTTTCCTCTCACGCGGAATTGGTAGAGGAGGGAAGGGGAAGCCGAAATCCCTAGCGCACCGAAATCTGGGCGCGCATACGCATATCTGGGCGCGCATACGCATAATACGAAAATACGAAATACGAAAAATACGAAAAAAAAAATACGAAAATACGAAGATCCTATGAAAATCCTAAATCCTAAATACGAAAATCCTATTAGCGAATAGTACTAGCAAATATAATATTAGAGTATATACCCGAAATTCCTCGATAACTTTTTTTCCTAATTATACTAGATTTGGGAATTTTGTACCCCTAAATTGTATTTTTTTTTCCCTCCGAATTGAACTTTTTGTACCCTCGAATTGTTGCAACTTTGTACCCCTGAATGTTGTACCCCAGAATTATGGTACCTAGGAATTTTGAACCCCCGAATTGACGATTTTGTACCCCTAAATTATTGGTACCCCTTTGTACCCCTAAATTTGTGTACCCTCCGAATTATTTGCCAGCTCATCTTACTTCTCACACTCTCACGATCTCTCTGTCAGGTAACGGCGTTACAGTACTTCTAATCGGCGGTGGCAAAAAAAATCAACAACAATAATAAGATATAAGTTTGAGTACATAACTCAGAAATTATTTGATAATTTGATGAATTGAGTACTTAATTTTTTGACCATTTTATTTAAGCAATAATGGGAATCTGGCACCTTTGTGGATACTAGTCCAGTTAACAGCAATTAGATAAAAAACAACAATAATAATTAACAACAAGGTTAACGGGCTCGATGGCCATTTGTGTAGTGGATTCTCCGCCTTCACTGGTGCTTTCCGTGGTGGATACCGCGTCCACGTCCACGTCCACGTCCTCATCTTAGGGACTTTCCTCGGGAGCTACGAGCCATTCGAGTTGATGTTTCGATTCGATTGAATGTTTCGATCAACTGGCCGCTAGAATAACTGGAAGAAGAAGCGAAGAGTTAATCAGGTAAATTTCTATTTTCTGAATTAATGTTTAAGTTTATTCTGATTTCAGACAGAGCTGCTTCTCTCTGATTCGTCACTATCCGGAACGGCATTTTCGGAATTTTAAAAGTTCAATTCGCGATTTTCTTGTATTTTTCGTAATTTTTTTTCTAAATTTATCCCCCTTATATGCATACTTGTAAAATTCCGGGCCCGGGCCCGGGCCGGGCCGGGCCTGAGGAAATTTTCAAGGCCCGGGCCCGGCCCGGAAGGCCCGGTGTCAAAAATGCTGTATTTTTGAGCCAAATTTTGAGCTCTCAATATAATTTTTTCCATTTTTTTTCTCGTATTTCGGATTGTTTGTCTGTCTGATCAAAAAATATCGAAAAACTCGAAAAAAAATTTTTTGGTCGAGAAAAATCACATAAGGGTCCCCCCTTATGTGTTTTTCGAAAATTTCGAAACTAGTGAAATGACGGGCCCGCCGGGCCG